GTAGTCGTGTTAATTGAGACTGCAATTGTGAGGCTGCCATAAAATAATTAACTGGAAGTTGTGGATGATCCAACATCCATGGGAGTCTTACCCAGTATTGTTTATTTGAGTAGACAACTGTATCCAGATATTGCTGATAAGTCCACGTATCATCAGGACTTGGTTGCTCAGGGATGATGCCTAAGGTGTCTAAATCCCACAAACGATGTATTGGTGGGTCAGACTCAATATCCTCAGATATTTCCCTGAAACGTAGGGGGTGACTGTTCTAAGCCTAGTCACGCCACAATTACATTATTGGATTGTTGGTTTGTGGACGCTGGACCTTGTCTGAAAAGCACTGGTCCTGTGAGCAATTTGTCTCCTGCGGACGACAACAAATTCATACCATGTTGCCTAGTGCATCCAGTTATAAACTTGTAATAATGATCCGCGCCTATTAGTATTCCAATATCTGTGAGGCAGTCAGAATTTATTTTATAATCTGCTAGCCTCATGCGGTTTCGTTTAAGGTGTCTCGCAGTGCGAGCTAACCCCGTGACCTGCAGGTCTGTAGGAATCTTATCCACTACTACTGCTTGGATTGGACTAGTAGAAGATCCTAGTCTTACTAATACTTTAACTACCTTGTAGTCACGAGGTCCACTATTTGACAAGAAACCAGAAATATTTAACCTCACACTTTTGGCAGGTTTTAAATTTAACTCATCTACCAACTGTTGTGTAATGAAGGTTTTCTGTGAACCTTGGTCAAAAAGACCCCTAGTGTTAACTCTAGATCTTCGGTTTATTAGTTTAAGTTGAGCTGTAGGCAAAGTAGTATTATTGCCTGACTCAGTAGCAAGTACATTTACTTCGTGATGCACTTTGCAATATTGCACTGCAGTAGAATTCGTAGAATTCTCTCCAGTGGTCATGGTTGGTGTAGAAGATTTTCTACATAAGGCGTAGTGGTGTACACCTTGGTTACAGCGGTTGCAGGAACGTAGCTGCACTGCACATTTCTTGGGATCATGAGAGCCCATGCACTTGGTGCACTTAGGTGCACTTGGCACCATGCACCATGCACTTGGTGCACTCAGACTTACTCTGAGTCTGTTTAGGTTTGACTGAAATATCAGTACTAGTTGGTTTAGACTCAGGTTTAATTTTATCATGAGTCTTTAACCTGTTAACTGTGATCCTCAATCCCTCGAAAATTTGGTCGAGAGTGAGAAACTCGGTATTATAATGTGAGCAGAGCTCTGTCAAGACATTTCGAGGTAATTTCCTCTGTAATAGTAGCTTGATAGACCATTCTGAAGCAGGTATATTAACTTTAGTACCTAAGGCCTTTACTAGAGACTCTACTTCTAGTCTGAAGCTTTGAAGTGACTCTGGTGCATTCAGATCTAGCAATTGATAATAGAGGGTAGCTATACTTAACTCTTTGTTGCAATAGTTCAACTTCAGGAGTTTTATAGCTTCCTCATAATTACTCTCATTAAGAGTAAGGTTATGTATGACCTTTTTAGCCTCTCCTGTGAGAAGACTAAGTAGGTATGAAAATTTAGAAACCTTGTCTAGAGACGGCTTCTTATGGATGTGAACTTCAAAGGAAGTCCAAAAATTGTCCCAATTTTCTGTATCTAATCCTGAAAATGTAGGTAAGTCTAGAGTAGGTAAACGAACCTCTGGTAAGTGATTGTTGAAGTGAGACCCAGTGTTACTGGTATTGGATCCAGATTGTTTTGCTAATTTAGATAATTATATCTTGAGTCTCATCTTCATATTGGGAGATGTCGTCTACAATTTGACTTAATTCCTCAGGATCAGTTTCTACAGTATTTAGCAGATCAAGATAAGATTGTCCTGCAGTTCTGACTTGATCAAATTTCAGATCAGCCACTCTAACTGATGTCTCTAAGTGATAAGAGTCAATGGGAGTATCTTTAGTTAAGCCCTCAGCCTTATTAATTAATCTGGTCAAATGACCTTTAAGGCCAATGTAGGTTCTCCTCAATTGCTCAGGAGTAGCCATGTTGGGCTTAGGTTTAAACTTCACAGTGTTAGTATATGTATTACTAATGAAGCTTGGATACTTGTTCATTAGTGAATAAGTAACATTAATTGTAGCCTAATTTAAGGTGGCTACTTTATAATTTTCCTCACTTGAGGTTGAATGTACCTACCTACCTAACAACAAATAGCTAGATATTTTGTGCACTGTCTGAACACCATTAGTTCTCGTCCGGTTAGCTCATCTATATCACCATCAGAGTTAATGGAGATTATCCAGCAATACACAAAATAATGCATACAAGAGAAATATTATGGAGACACTCCAATCAGAGTTATCTCAAAAATTTAATCCCACCCTGTATAGGGTCAGCACAAATAATATAATACATACAACACTGACTAGCTTAGATCTAGTCATAATAATTCCTAACTAAGAACTATAAAGTTATTTAGTCTGGGCTTGTACCAAATTCAGCACAATCTCAGCCTAAATTCTACCTAATAACATTGGTAAAGAGTATTGTGGTGCAGTAAGGTGAATATAGTTGTGCTGTATTTTTGTTTTTTTTTGTTTTATAAGAGTGCTCTTGCACACACAGGTGAAACAATTATGTACAGTTAAGTTTGGCTTGCTAGCCACAGTCGTTTGTGATGGTTGATGGTGTTAATTAACTTGTCAACCACATGCAACCTAGATTCCCCTGACAAGTGTACACCATCTCTGGTCAGGTTTTGTCTATAAGGTCTGGCTGTAAATTGGATATATGTGGCATCCAATCTCACTCGTTTTTTCAGCCTGAAATTTATGTACTTAGCAGCTCTCAGGTAGTATTCTGGGGTTACTCCCCAACGATTATCTTGATTTGGTTGGCGAGGCTCCACTAATGTGAATACTACCGATTCACTGATGAGCTTGAAAGAAGAAATTATGGCTTTGAGGTGTTTGATCACCTCGGCTGGATGACGAGTGGGGTGGATGTCATTACCACCTAAGTATATAATGGTTAGATGGTGAGGCCACTCTAACGCAGGTGTTAGGGTGGGGTTATTATAAAAGTTATGAGCTGTTGCTCCTGGTGACCTAAAGATTCTCACCTCTGTGTGAGGTATAGGTCTAAGTGTTGTGGGTAATTGGCTATGACCCACTAAAGCTACTTTATACATGGGGTGAAAGTAGCAATATATTAGTGTGATCTAGGCTAACTGATGTGTTACACTGTTAGTTGACACAATTAATTAAATAGTTAGTCTAGCTTCTATCACACAAGGATTAGTTATTAATGATTAATATTTTAATTATAAATTTAATGCCTATCCGGTTCGATAAGGACCATAATGTGAGACATTTGGGGCTTGAATCTGATTATTTAAATATTAATGTAGTAAATTAAATTACGAAGGACCACCCGCTTTTATAGTAAAGAGGGAAACTGAGAATTTCTGATCATTAGATAATTCCTAGATGAACCAGTAACTATGGATAAAATACTAGAGAATATGATCATAGAAATAATTAATGGGCTGTATAATTAAATGAATCAAACCCTCAAACACCTACATTGGGGGGTTATTACTGGAAGTCAGTACGTCCAGGAACTAGTGTGGTTCGTTCACTAATCCAAATTATAATAATCTAATCCTATGAATTATAGTGAAACTAATGTCATTACCATGAATGGGAACATAGATTATAAGTATAGTAATGATAGTCACAATAAACACATGTTAATCCAAAGGAATTCTGCATGTAAGTAATTTCAGAAATTTCATGAATAAATACAAAGAAATCTTAGCTTAATGATGATTCCTTTATGTAAGCCACGACGCTTCCTCTAATTAACTGGGCTCGGCTGGCTGACGAATGGGATGGATTAACATGGGAGAAGGCGGCAGGGAGAATTCTTCTCACGTGCTGCAAAACAAATATTTACAGTAGCAACTAATTAAACTACTGAATCTCTATGTTCAAGAAATTAAGAGTTACAGGTGATAATAGGTAATAACCTGTGGTTTGGTGTTGGCATACGTCGTCACGGTCAGTCACCCAGCTACTACACTACACTTTACCGGATGCATCAAATAAAGAGAAGATACTTAGCTAATAAGGGCACTGTATAAGTTTTAAGATTGCCGAAATTCGCGTCCCAGGCTCTGGCTTCAGCCTATCCTGGATAATGGCGCGCTTCACTGGCCGGTCACGTGTAGTCAGGAACCAGATTAAAAAGGTTCCTTATGTTACACCAGCACCAGTTGAAGATATTATCTGCAAGGTTGTTCACGCCTCACAGTGGCGACTTTCATCTGAGGATGGATAACGTCTACCCTGATGGCTGGGCAATGGCGTCTCCTCGTGAGTACGATACGGGTAGGTCTGCCTCAGAGCTTCCCTCCATGTGTACTGGCGTGCCTCTCCACCCCACGCCGCGTCTCGCGTTCATTAGACAAATTATTGTCATGAATATTAGTATTTCTCGCATTTATGCTTGAAATGTTGAAGACTGGACGGGTTTATTATTTAGAAGAGGACAATATTATTATTTGCCAATTTAGTGATAGTAAACGTATAAGGGAGAGGAATTAATGTCTCCCCATGGCATTCACTCGTGACGTTAACTTTTATTACTAGATAATCGCTATGACTCCAACGCTCTATTCGGCTTTTAGTTGGAGGTCAATTCATCTGTAATTAATTATCACACAGAATACCTTGGTTATAGAGAATCGAATTTAATTCTCATATACATTGGATATAATGTGTTTATTGTAAGGAAATCTGACGCAATACTGGCGTCGGATGACGTGAGAATTCTAGCCTACTGCACAGATGAAATTATTAGTACATGAGAATTCTACGTGGTGTTAATTTTACTTACTACAATAATTAGTAGAGTTAGTAATAAGTAATGAGAATACAACAGTGTTGTATTCGGTGTTGGAAATTTCCAACAGGAGGAACGCATACCTGCAGACACATGGTGGGGACCCACACCAACGGACACATGGGAGGAATGCATACCTGCAGACACATGGTGGGGACCCACACCAATGGACACATGGGAGGAACGCATACCTGCAGACACATGGTGGGGACCCACACCAACGGACACATTGGAAGGACCCACACCAACGGACACATAGGAGGAACGCATACCTGCAGACACATGGTGGGGACCCACACCAACGGACACATGGGAGGAACACATACCTGCAGACACATGGTGGGGACCCACACCAACGGACAGATTGGAAAGACCCACTCCAACGGACACATTGGAAGGACCCACACCAACGGACACATTGCAAGGACCCACACCAACGGACACATTGGAAAGACCCACTCCAACGGACACATTGGAAGGACCCACACCAACGGACACATTGCAAGGACCCACACCAACGGCACATTGCAAGGACCCACACCAACGGACACATTGGAAAGACCCACTCCAACGGACAAATTGGATGGACCCACACCAACGGACATATTGCAAGAACCCACACCAACGGACACATTGCAAGGATCCACACCAACGGACACATTGGAAAGACCCACTCCAACGGACACATTGGAAGGACCCACACCAACGGACACATTGCAAGGACCCACACCAACGGACACATTGGAAAGACCCACTCCAACGGACACATTGGAAGGACCCACACCAACGGACACATTGCAAGGACCCACACCAACGGACACATTGGAAAGACCCACTCCAACGGACACATTGGAAGGACCCACACCAACGGACACATTGGAAAGACCCACTCCAACGGACACATTGGAAGGACCCACACCAACGGACACATTGGAAAGACCCACTCCAACGGACACATTGGAAAGACCCACACCAACGGACACATTGGAAGGACCCACTCCAACGGACACATTGGAAGGACTAACACCAACGGACACATTCGAAGAACTAACACCAACGGACCCACTGGAATGACCCACGCCAACGGACACATTGGAAGGACCCACACCAACGGACACATTGGAAGGACCCACTCCAACGGACACATTGGAAAGACTAACACCAACGGGCACATTGGAAGGACTAAAGCCAACAGACACATTGAGAGGACCCACACCAACGGACACATTGGAAAGACCCACTCCAACGGACACATTGGAAGGACTAACACCAACGGACACATTCGAAGAACTAACACCAATGGACCCACTGGAATGACCCACGCCAATGGACACATTGGAAGGACCCACACCAACGGACACATTGGAAGGACCCACACCAACGGACACATTAGAGAAACCAACAACAACGGACACATTGGAAGGACTAACACCAAGGGACACATTGGAAGGACCCACACCAATGGACACATTGGAAGGACCCACACCAACGGACACATTAGAGAAACCAACAACAACGGACACATTGGAAGGAATAACACCAACGGACACATTGGAAGGACCCACACCAATGGGCACATTGGAAGGACCCACACCAACGGACACATTAGAGGGACCCACACCAACGGACACATAAGAGGGAGTAACACCAACGGAGACATGATGGCACTAACACTAACAGACAAACGCCAGGGATAAGGACTAGGACACACAGATAAATGCAAAACACCATGTGGCTTGTATATTAGGAAGTGCTATATATCTCAGGAAGCAAGATCGATGAAACGAACTCCATGAGCGGCTTCGTCTTAGGTGTTGTATATTATAGTTTCTCCAATTAGTTGGAGTAAGAGACTATCGAGGCCGTGAGAGACAATCCATGCTATACCGAATTTTAAAATATTTCTTAAAACTTACGAAAAATTAGTTTTTTCCGCCAATAGTTTAAATGTGTTTGCAAAGGGACCATAAAATATGAGTCTCCTTCCTCCTGAAGCAGAAGGATCGTCGATCATCATAGCCTCGTGGGTAGGAAAAGATTCTGTGACAAAAACCAGCTGCGGTCTATAGATTAGCCTGGGAATGAAAACAATATTTCAGTGGAAAAATGTTATCATAAAATTTTCATCTCGTCTAAAGCAAAGAGTAAGCCAGATATTGGAGTTTCTATAATTATTATATTGTTAAAATTATTTAATTCATAGCAATGGAATAAAAAAATAAATTATCTTATATAAGTGCTAGAAAAGATTTATTGCTAATGCGTCAGTCTGCACATTTGGAATGCGAAAAATATCCTAACTCATATACATATATTAAAGTGTTCAGTGAGATTGCACAAGGTTTTATCTGAATACTCCTTATTTTCTTCTCCGAGGCTATAAGACCCCCCATATTTGCACCAGAGGTGGTATCTTTATATCTACCTTTTTTTCGACATATATATATATATATATATATATATATATATATATATATATATATATATATATATATATATATATATATATATATATATATATATATATATATATATATATATATATATATATATATATATATATATATATATATATATATATATATATATATATATATATATATATATATATATATATATATATTATAAACCTATTAGTAGTAACATGCAATTGCACCAATATTTATATTGACATGTAATTCTCATTCGTTATATTAGTACACTGTTTACTTAATCGTTCAATCTATAGAAACAAAACCCTTATAATGTACAGTCAAATGACATGTATAAATACAATCACAAATAACAGTATACAATCAACAGTATTTCTTAATCTCTCCAAAATTATATCCATTGATCTTTTGTTTTAATATATTAAACTTCTTATTAACAACTCCCTTTGTGCCACCAATTTATCCACTCCAATCATCTTGAGGTTATATTGAGATGATTTCGGGGCTTTAGTGTCCCAACGGCCCGGTCTTTGACCAGGCCTCCACCCCCAGGAAGCAGCCCGTGACAGCTGACTAACACCGAGGTACCTATTTTACTGCTAGGTAACAGGGGCATAGGGCGAAAGAAACTCATTGTATAATTGAAACAATGGCCCATTGTATCTCACCGGCGCCCGGGATCGAACCCGGAACCACAGGATCACAAGTACAGTGTGCTGTCCGCTCGGCCGACCGGCTCCCAATATCCTATCATGTGACCACTTTCAATATTTATTTCCCAAATTTAACCCAATTTAGCCTGACATACCCTAAATTTACCTAAAAAGTTCTATATTTAATTTAGCCCATTAAAATTTATCAGAATTTTACCTAACAAAATCTATATCAAACTAAATTTCAGAAAATTTACTATATATTTCCCTCAAATTTATACTAGTAACCTAAATTTAACTAAATCTAGGTAAATTTAACTTACCCCTTCTAAATATAACTAAATCTATGCAAATTTAATATATCTTACAAAATTTATCCCAATTTGTTTTGAGAGAACGTACAATTAACGTAATCATGTTAAATTTAACTTAACGCATCCAAATTTTTCCAAATTCAATTCAATACATCTTTCATTTTGGTATCAAATTGTTTGCAATAAAAAGGCGCACATTTTAAAACTATTCCCAAGATAATAGGACAATAAATAGAATTTTAACAAATATTTTAATATTCTGACCAAAAGCCTATTTATAATCTTTCAAGTGTTCGGACATCAAGTTTCATGTTATATCTTTGATTTTGGTATCAAATTGTGTGCAATCTAAGGGCGCTTATTTTAAAACCACTACTAGATTGCTCTGATAAAATTTAATTTTTTAACAAATATTTTAATGAGTGACTAGATACTGCGTCGTTGGAACCTATTCAGTAGAAGAATGAGTGACAAGATAGTCAGTCTGTGGAACGCGAAAGTGTTATAACACTTTCGCATTCCACAGACTGACTATCTTCCACAGACTATCTATCTAATTAAGAAGCAAATTTCAACTAAATTTAAACAAATTGAATATATATTACACCAAAATGTATCCTAACAGAACCTATATTCAACTAAATCAATCTAAATATAACTCATCCTATCCAAATTTACCCCCTAACAAAAGCTAACCATATTTAAGTTTAGCTTATCCTGCACAAATTTATCCCCTCCTAAGCTAATTTTCACTTAATTTAAAAAAGTTTGATCGCTCTTCTAAAATGGTTTTAACAAATCCATAATAACGTATCCTGAATTATGATGAACAATCCAATTCTAAGGTGTCCAATTCAAATCAATGATATTCATTGTATTGAAAATCATATCATTGGATCATTCTGGAATAAACCTAATTTATTCCATTCGATCATTATTTATCAAAAAATAAGCTTAATTTAGTTAAATATATGGAAATTTACACAAACGTAAGCTAGATTTAAATAAATCTTGTTAACTGTGGGTAATCGAAGTTAAATTTACCCTATCCAAATTGATCCCAGCAAAATTTTACTCATCTACATTTAATTTAATCCATTGTAACCAATAATAACATATCCTAACCTCTGATATCTTACCTTGAGCTAGAGATCTCATACTAGGTTAGAGTTTAAATTGAGGGCAACCCTAGTTTGGTGCAGGTGATTATAACCATCTTAACTTGATTAGCTTATTATTTCAGGGAAAAGTTTCTTATAATATTTGTTAATTATTTATAAAAAATAATATTTATATATCAATGGAGTATTGGTATTAAATTTTCTGATGAAATTAACAGAATAATTAGTCATCTTTGTTAAGCAGTCAAAGCTAAGCAGGTTTGTGCCATGACAAATTCATTATATATGTTTCTTACATGAGGATTCCGGGAAGATGATAGTTCTTCTGTTATTGAATTGCTATTGCTGTGTTACAACAATGAATGTACATTCCAGACCTGGCCATGTTTATATGTTGCAAAAATTTTAAATTGCTCCATCTCCAGATATTTTCATGCAACACTTCTGTATACTCACTTGGAAAACTTGTCAGGAAAGAGCGGGATGTGAGAGGTTAAAACTAGTCCTTCGTGAGGCGTCCAGGAGGCCAGCTTCAGAGCCTTTGATCCCTGAGGGCTATAGGGCAGCTGTGTGTACACACCACACCTTCATTGAGAAAAAACAAAACAAAAATATGTTAGTTAATTACTTTATCGTGCATAGGTAAATATTATTTAATGTTTAACTGCTGAATCCTTCTAATGCCATCTTTTAAATTCCCATTCCATATGAGCATAATAGAACTACATACCGATTAAATTTCCGTAAATCTTCTTTGGCGAGCACCATAGAGTTCGTCCTGGAGTACATTTTGCTAAAGTCTGGATCATTTACTATGGAAACTTCAGTGACAACGAGGAGCTTTGTTGCAGGAACCACCAACCGGTCACTGAGGGAGAACTTAACGAAAGCAGAGAGGAAACCGAGGTTGTCGCTCACAACCACCAGCGTCACGCACCACGACACCTGCCGCACCTGTTAAAATTAATGTGACTGATGTTAGGTGAGATTGACCAACCTCCCTCAGTACTGAGGTAAGATCAATTATCATGCCTCAGTATTGAGGTGAGATTCATCTTCCCGCCACAGTAGTAATGTGAGACTAATCTACCCACGTCAACAGCAATGTGAGAGCTCTACCCACGTAAGCAAGAATGTGAGATGACCTAGAAGTATCTCTAATAATATGAGTGCGACCTTCAACCATCAGCAGAAATGGTAGAGTGACATACCACCATCAGCAGTGATGTGAGAGTGACATACAAGCACCAACAATAATGTGAGAGTGACATATAAGCATCAGCAGTGATGTGAGAGTGACATACTGTTATAAATATATGTGTGGGGCTTCTATGGGGTACTGGTACTATTAAGGGGTAAGGGTAGTTAGAAGACAAGAGTATCAAATATGGGAGAGCTAAAAGGCCCGGCCCCCAAAATAAACTATCCACAGTAGTAATAACTTGCTACTAGACCATATATGTTAGTCTAAGGGTTGATCAATGCACTCCCACACTGGAAGAAGGGATACTCTGTAATTCATGTACTTATTTATTAACCCCTTAACAACCCCCC